GGGAAATTCCGGGAGATCTGGGGCTGGAACCGTAGGGAAGGCAGAGCCCTCAGTAGGGTTTATAGGGCTCTTTTTGTAGCAGGAACTCCTTCGCATATCAGGCGACACACCCCTAATGTAGCCAATCCTCCAAGAGCTTACAGTAGCCCCTGTAAGAAGGGCTCTGTAAGCTCTTGGGAGGATTGGCTACATTAGGGGTGTGTCGCCTGATATGCGAAGGAGTTCCTGCTACAAAAAGAGCCCCACCCTCCAAAGAAGCTATTTTCTCAGGGAAGCTGATCTCTGTCACCTGGAGGTGACAGAGGTTGGCAACTCTAGGTATACATGAAGTAGATAAGTTAAAAGTAACGGAAGCCGGGAGTTGAAGCATTTCTTCCTGCCTGTGAGATTTCACCACCAGTGATAATACTGTATACAAGACAAGGGGCTTATATTGCAGCAGCAATATGGTACCATAGGATACACAATTGTGACAGGGGTTTGCTGCTGTAAGGTCACACAGACTTCAGACGTTGATTCACACTTTAAACTTCTGAGAAATCCTGAAATTTAAGTCCCTTTTAATGGCAGACACAACTGGATGCCCCCCCCCCCCCCCCCAAGAAAGACCTTAATTTACTGCCTAGAAGAAGTGACTCTACGGACGGATTCCATTGTCTTTGTTTCCTGGATAGCTTGCAGTCAGATTGAAAGGTGTGCTCCAGGGTTTATTCCTGGTGCTCATCCCACTAACACATCACAGGAAGCGCTGGGCTGGCAAAACGGCCCGTTAGCCAAGCCTCAAAGGCAGGAAGCTGCCTTAGACGGTGAAATCATCACCTGCCCTGTTATTTAAGGTTATGAGTATTCAAGGCAGCGTTACAATAAAAATATTAATATAGAATGCAAATCAGGCTAACGCTAAGGACCAAAGTTAAAGCCAGTGAGTTCTTCCATCTACAGATATACGGTACAGGGCAGCAGAAAAAAACCTCAGGAGAAATATGCCATTTTGAATCAGCAAAGATTAAAAAAACATGCACCTCAAAATGACTTCTAAAACCATCACAGCTTCTGTCTAGAAGAATCCCTAAAGGACCTCTGTGCCCATAAAATATCAAATGGGCCATCCAGGAGAGAGAGGTTTTTTTAAAATTGCACCAGAGGACCAAAAGAGAAGGGAAATACCCATGCTTCCAATGGGAAGGAGTCCCGTAGCTAGGGGCCACCACTTAGAAGTCTCTGCCACAAATACCCTCCAATCTTACCACTGCCAAAGCAGGCAGATCTCATATTCCAGGTAGCTATATATGGGTGAACATGGTTATTGAGGCGCTTTGGACCCAAATCACTTAGGGCTTTAGTCCCCTAAAAAAACCAAATCAGAAGCCACTGTAACATACTGGTGTCTACCCCACTACTTAGCACAGTCCTGTTTTCTCACTAATCTGGGCATTATTCTGTCTTTACAAATGAAACATAATGGTTTCCAATTGGCAAGGGTGTCAGATTAAGCTTGTATTTTATCTCCCTATCCATTCAGTCTGTATGCAGAACAAACAGAACGCACAAGGAAAGCTAGATTAGATTTAGATAAAGGCAGAGTGAAAATTGGAGGAAAGAACATTAATGATTTGAGACGTGCAGATGAGACTTGAAACAACTACTGCTGAAGGATAAAGTCGAAAGTGCCAAAGCAGGGTGACAGCTCAACATCAAGAACAGGCACGTAGCTACAGTGGGGCATTTCGGAACCACACCTCACTGCGCTTTTGCTGTCACCCGCAGCCCCCACCCTTGCCTCGCTCATCCTCCACGCCAGGAATGGCTGCTCACAGGGCTGGGCACGGGCAGGCCAGAGACAGGGAGGGAGGAGAGACGCCTCTCCGACAGTCAGAGAGGCGCCAGGGTAGGTCTTCTCCCTGCTTCCGCAGCTGACTGTAGAAGCACGGAGAAGACCAGCAAGCCCATGCCTTTCCAACAGTCAGAGAAGTGGGGGGGGGAGTCTTCTCCTCTCTCCTCCACCCCCCCTCTCCCGCCCCAT